TACTGAAACACACCGGCACGGCACAGTGACGAGCGAGTTCTGTCCTGTCACACTCCGGACACACGTCGACGCAACGCACGGCGCGCGGGTGCGAGCGAGGTGCCGCTCGTCGAGTGCAGCGCGCAAGTGTGCAGCACGCAGGCGCAGGCCGGCCGGGACCGTCGGGGACCGCGGCTAACTCAAGACTGAAGTGTTGCAGCGCAGCGCAGCGCAGCGGCGTGCCCCGCGTTGGCCCGCGTGTGCTCTGTTATGCTGCCCAGCTGGGGGGCCCGCACCACCGCGCCCCGCCCCGCCGCGCCCCGCCCCGCCCCGCCGCGTGGCGTCCCGCGGCTCGGCTCGGGGCCCGCCCATGCAGGTCGGGCGGCCGACCCGGGCGACTGCATACACACTCTCGGGTCGACTGCCGCCGCCCCGCCCCGCCACGCCGCGCCTTTAAAACTCCCCCGCTTCTGCAGTGCATATCTCACGCCTCACTACCAGTGCATTTTATTCCCCCCCCCCTACCCTCTCTCTCACACCCACCACATGCACACACTTTATGTCGCACGTCAAGTGCCGCGTGGCCTGCCTCGTTCCTTTACTGCACAAGCTTAGACTTACTTCCTCCCTACAAACACACACACGCTCACACACACACATGCACAAACACTTCTTATCCTACGAGAGGAAAAGTTTCTGACGTCGCTAGGCCAGGACGAGGGCGCCACAGGGAGCCCGAGCGGCGTGTATATGAAGGGCCTTGGCTTGCACCTTGCTACGTCCTGACGTCCTGCACAACTTTTTCCCCCCGTAGTACATCAATTCCAGCCAGAGGCTTACGCTCAGCTCTTGCGCCCAAAACGCCCCCAAAGTACTCTCTGCGACTGCTTTTAGGTAGGGCCATTGCGGCGGACGGATGGCCCTGACGACAAATGTCAGCAGAGCCGACGGCCCTTCTCCTACGCCGTGCCTGATCTCGTGTGTTCATTTAATTGCTCTACGTAACATGCGTACCGTGCCGACTTTACTCCTTTGGCACAGAGCTGACTCGGGCTCCGCGTGGAGCGCGTAAGGCGCGGGACCGCGTCAAAGGCAAAGGAGATGAGGTTTCCTCAGATGCTTGACTTGGATTCGGCGAAGCGCCGCCGCCCGGCCGGCCTAAGGCCGATTGATGACCAGTCGGGCCATTGCAGCCCACGCGAAGCCGGATAAACAACGGCGGCGGGGTTAGTTAGCGGGGCGGGTCGGATCAGCCGCAAGAGCTAAGCGGCGGCGCCGCCCTGCCTGATTTACGGCCACTTACGAAAACAGTGAGGGGGGGAAAAGGAAGGCATGAAATGCAAGGGAGGTAAGGGGGAATGCCCCGCTCCGAGAGGTGGGTGGAGGCTTTTATGAACCTCTGCCAGCCGACTCGCAGGCAGGTGTCAAAGCGGGCTGGGTCAACAGCGGCAGCCGGGGGTCCGGGGCGGCGCGGCGCGGCGGCGCACAGGGGTCACGTCACCTGCAGCGCCTGCCTGTGGGGCGCGCCCACGGCGTCGGGCTGGACGAACGGACGTGTCTCCGAGGCGCTCTCGAGCCAGCTGCCTAGCGCCAAGAAGTGCGACGCTGCACCCCCACGGCCACGGCGCGCGGGCTGCGTACCAACAAAGCCACGAGGGGAGAAGAGGGAGAGGGAGAGGGAGAGAGAGAGAGGGAGAGGGAGAGAGAGAGGCAGAGGGAGGGAGAGGGAGGAAGGGGGAGAGAAAGGAGGGTGAGGGGGTGAGAGTGAGAGAGAGTCGGAGGGAGGCAAACTCGCGGACGCGACACTATTTCCGGACGCCTTTGCCGACCACAACAGGCCGGGCGACGCGTTGCAGTGCTGCTGCTGAGTCAGGCGACGCACCAAGAAGTCGGCGACGACGACGACAACAACGCGCGGCCACATAGCCCGACGAGGGAGGAGGAGGACGGCCGAGTGTGAGGCGAGGGAGCAACAGGCACTAGAAAAGACTACTAGTAGAGACTAGCACGGGCTAGCAGGGACTACTACCCAAGGTCGCCGCACACGTAGCCACTAACTCACGCCGCGCCCCCCAGCCGCCCTGCCCAGAAGGGGGCAGCCGCGCCACCAGCAGGTGGATAGTGTTCCAGGGCGCACTGCTGGACTCCCCTTCCCCTACCCCGCCACCTCCCAGGCTGCTCCTCGACGGGTAAGGAGGGAACACACCTTCCATTAACGACCAACTCACAAATCTCGCGGGCACGCGGCGTGGCGAACGGAACGCCCTCCCCCGCCCTCCCCTTGCCCCACGCCACGCCACGCCACGCGATTTGTGGCGGCCAGATCTGATTTGTGGGGATCAAGTGGCATAGCCCCTGCTCCTTGCGCCATCGCCACACTCCCTTTCTCTAACTGCAGGTCTAAAAAGCGAGGCTCTTTTGCAGTTAGAAAATTTACTTTCGGACGAGGCTTGCAAAAGCAAATCCTACATCATGAACCACGCGAGGGCATGCCCTGTTCACAAAAGAAATAATATGTGTGGTTTGTGACGTGGGCGCTTATCTCGCAGTCAGGCTGGGGTCCCGACGACGGGTCTCGGGGATGTGCAGACGGCCTGCCGATGTCTAGCCGTGATACACCCGTCTCCCCGCATAGGCCCTTCTTCATTGCGCTCAACAAAACGCAAGAAAATGTGATAGAATAAGAAATACTAAATAATTTGTCTACAAAAAATTGCAGCTCCATAAAGGGAATTCACTCCACCACCATCTAATCCGCGACCGATATAGCAGGGCAGAAAAATGTTGAGTGCTCAACCCGTCCGTGTGATGTGAGCAGGCCCAAGCGAGCTGTCCCGTCCTCCGCAGGCCGACCGGACAATACTGAGGCGTGCCCCCTGTCCCTCTCCCCTCCCCCATTAAACAATATCGTCTCTTCGTCCCGGACAACATCTGTCCTAATAGAGAAACACGTGTCGGGAGAGGAAGAAGCGACACGTGTTCCTAAAGGGGGCCGTCCCCAAACGAAAGAAAGGCAGACGAAACGGCAACAAAGTCTTATTCATATTTTGAAGGTGATATGGAGGGTTCATGTGGGAAAATAGGTAGCAGCTTGAGACCTGGCGTCTTCCACGTTTCCAAAGTTTGTTTCAACACCTCATACTGTATTTATGTTAATAGCCATGTTCCATTCTACCACCCAGCTGCAACGTTATCTCCGTGATGCCCCTGTTTCACCTCCTGGCAGCCTCAACAATGCTGGACCCCCCCCCCCCCCCCCCCGCATCTCCCGCCTAACCACTACCGTCAGCGGAGGCCGCGGTAAACTACTGGCTGCTTTGCGCCTTGTTGGGAGAATGTGTGCGGGAACTTTGAGCGAGACAGGTGAGGAATTTGAGTGCCCGAGCAGGAGAGGGCGCGCGGGGGCTATCAACAGGTAAGTGTTCAACGCCCTCAAACCGTCCACGGCAGAGAATAACCAGCCAAAGAAGCCAAGTCACGCTAAAAAAGTAACATACAATAGTAAACAACCAAAATTGAGGAACGGCAATGAAATCTTGTTCTGCGAATAAGAGAAGACAAAGATATCAAAAGTAATGGGCAAGCAGCACTTCATGTACACGACACTTCGTTCGATCACTGAAAATTGAGAACTAGAGTCGCTGGTCGCTACAAGACAGAAGATTTAACAGGCAGTAAAGAATACAAACATAATAAATCAACTACAAAAAACATTCTCAAAAACATCGAAATTACCGGAAATTACAAAGACGGCACTGAATAAGATGCATCAACACGTAAAGGAAGACAGAGAGAGGAAAGCAAGATAAAGACAGAGGCTAAGACATGTCATAACATGGAGAAGTAAATGAGGCAATGGCAGCATGCATGCACTTCTTTTCAAACAGTTAATGAAATTATTTACAGTTATTGGAGCTGGATGGCAATTATGAAGGCGTCACTTCCAAAAATGGTGTTATACATCAGTCACAAACCATAGTCTGATCGGAGCCAAAAGCAATACGCCAGATGGGCTGCTAAGTTATTACAACAGGCATTATGACAAAAAAGGCGAGCATATGAAGATATCCTCCGACAGGAAAAGAATGACAAATTACAAGACAACTTCATGCAATAAGACAGCTTCTCCAGATCAGCACAAACTAAACTGAAATAAGTCAGTCTCTCACACAAAACAACTCCATTCCATGAGGTTATCATAAATTAATTAACTTTTAACGTTAAAAAGTCATTGGGCGAGTAGCAAAACAAACAAAAAAAAAGAACAGTGCCTCTACCTGGGCAGTCGAAAATCGGCCGGCGCCAACGTCTCCACCGCTGCGTACCACCTGGAACCACATCATCACACCCTTCTGACAATTCGCACAAATATTTGAAAAGTAAAATAAAATGCAAACGA